TTTTTTAAGTATCCAAGTCTGAGTAGGACTCTGTTAAAGACATCTTTTTGAAAGTACTAAAATACAGGGATGGCATCTCCTGAAGGCTAACCAGCCACTCTCTGTGGGAGTGAGGTTTTATATTCACTCCATCAAGAATTTTGGTTGGAAAGTGAACAACGTTATCTCAACGTTGCTTTAAACCTGAGTGACCAGTGAAGCCTTTCTCTTCCTTTGGCTAGAAAATCGCAGCCTTGTTTCCTAAAGATGTTGACCGTCTGAGAAGGATGTCTCTGATCGAAGAGGAAGGAGGCAAGAGGATCAACATGGCCCACCTCTGCATTGTGGGCTCCCATGCTGTGAATGGCGTGGCTAAAATCCACTCAGACATCGTGAAGACCCAAGTGTGAGCTTCCAGTCCCAGGGCGGTGGGTCTGACGCTGCTCCATGAATGGAACAGTGCGAGTGAACTCAGTGTTGCTTTGGAGAGGAGGAACGACCCCGACAAAATGTTTAAAAGTATTTTTTTTTTCTTGAGAAAAGGCCCTTCCTCTATGGACCATCCTAATTCTAGATATAGGAGACCAAAACTAAAATTATTCTGTTGAAAAGTCTGGTTAAATGTTGGTGCCAGAAAATCATACGGAGGTGATTAGATTTGGAATTTTCCTTGTAACTATTTTGAATCGCAAATGGATTTCTATTTAGAATGACACCCATAGATGCTCTTAGCTCCTCCCTCCACCTTTATTTAATCTTTCTAAGCCAACACTTGACTCTTTGAATATAACTCTGAACTTCATCCTGCATGCAGGAACCTGCTGTTTCAGCCAGACTCAGTGGTGTGTCTCTTCTGTCTCCAGATTCAAGGACTTCAGTGAGCTAGAACCAGACAAGTTTCAGAATAAAACCAATGGGATCACTCCAAGGCGCTGGCTCTTACTCTGCAACCCGGGGCTTGCAGAGTTAATTGCAGAGGTAACTGGGAAGTGCTGAGAGGGAGAGGGAGAGAGGGAGAGGGATCCGACTGGAATGCAAGAGGCATGAGTGCACTTAGAATTTGCAAATACAATCTGTAGCAGGGCCGGCTTCATCAGCACGTGGCCTGTGCAGTCCCATGAGGCTCTGTGCTTGACTTAATTCTCTGCTGCAGTCACCTTGAAAGTCTCAATTTTGATCAAGGGTCCCTACCAATTCTGTACCTGGTCCTGGCTAACAGTATTCATATGACACACAGATGGAAGTTGGTAACTCTATTTAGTAAAAGAGGATAACAAAGGTCATATAAATAACTAGTGGAACCTGGGTCCTTTGCCAGCCTCTTTAGGTAGATTTCCTGTTTTTAACACAATACCCCTGAGACTACTACATTTAAGATACCTGCAAAGTGTCCTTCCCACACAGCAGTTCTAGCCCCTTCTCTGAGTGAAGCCATTCTGCGTCTTGTGTGGTAGGTGAGCTGTCCCGTGGTAGCTGAGTGAGCACGCACCACAGGGACAGAAGCTGCTCATTTGGGCCTGATTGCCATCCCTGATTAAAGCCACCTCTTCCTTTAAACTGAAAGAAAATCGGGGAAGACTACGTGAAAGACCTGAGCCAGCTGACGAAGCTGCACGGCTTCCTGGGGGACGACGTCTTCCTCCGAGAAATTTCCAATGTGAAGCAGGTGAGACTCGGTGTGGGTTCTTGCCCGGCACGTGCTTTTGAGGGTTTATGCTCCAGTTTTTAAGAGGGACCACCCGAGGCTTCCCCATCAAAAGGACTCCTGCCCGTGCACTGTCTCAACAGGAGAACAAGCTGAAGTTTTCTCAGTTCCTGGAGAAGGAGTACAAAGTGAAGATCAACCCAGCCTCCATGTTTGACG